GGGAACGCCGCAGCTCTACTCGGGAGGAGCTGGAGGAAGTGTCTGGAGAGAGGGAAGTCTGGGCATCTTTGCTTAGACTGCTGCCCCCGGGACCCGGTCCCGGATAAGTGGAGGAACATGGATGGATGGATGGATGGAATAATAATAATAATAATAATAATAATAATAATAATAATAATAATAATGTGTATTGGTTGTGTGTTTGATACCCAAAAAGATTTATTGCCTTCTCTTTCAAGAGAAACTTTAAAACAAAACATTTTAAATAATCACATAAAATAAGACAATCAAGTTACAAACAGATTGAATGAACATAATGAATACACATACAGGCCTTTGTACTCTACTCTTACAATCATAAATCACAGTGTGGACTGAAAGGATCTATCTTGAAAGTTGTTTGTAGTTCATGCCATTTAAAAGCTGCAAGTACCTGAAATTAGTGCAATCATGTGGGACAGTAAGACCATGGTATTTTTAAATCATATAGTATAAAGTGGTCAGAAAAAATAAAAATGCAAGCAGTTCAGAAGTTTTAGCAGTGGAATGGTATTGTTAAGATGTATCACATTATGATAGACTGGGTTTATTGTTACCATCATGACAGCCATTGTCACTACACACTGGTGGCCATTGTGCATTTAATATGATGTCATACTTTTTCATGATTGGGGCAAAGAGTTGCACCCCATCCGGACACCAATTTTTCATACAAGATCAGCTTCACACTTTAAAACTTTTGTGTTAAAACACAAAACACATCAAAAACAACTTTTTAAGGTGTGTGCTTTGTGTTAAAAGAATGTTATGAAGTTAGTTAAAATGGTGTATATGATGCTATGAAATCCCAGTGGCCACAGAAAACGGGGACTTTGGCCATTCACATCTCTACTGAGGTAAACCATGGAGTAATATCTCTGCCATGTTTGGTCAGGCTTTCCGGAGCTCCAGCCAAGCTTCAGCTTCAAGGAGGGATATAGTTTTGTTGTGGTTGAAGCACAAAATGGGACCAAGCCCTACTGACTCATCATCCACCAATCACCTAAGGTATGCAAATTTTGGTGGTCATGGCAACAAGAAAAACAGGAAGTTGTGATGATGTCACTGCTTTACTCTTCCCCCTTGTGTGCTTGTATCCGAGTTTTGTTTTCAGTAGAGATAAGAGACACTTTTCAGCACATGTGCATGTCTGTGAAGAGTGCACAGTCACACTAAAAGGTGCATGATGGCAGCCAGGAAGTCGCCCAGTGGTGCCCTTGAGCAGACACTGCCACTGAGATTACCACCACCTCTATAACTCAGTGGCAATACCAGCCATTACTATGTGACATCTTCACCTCAGCATGGCTTTTAACAGCCAGGCTGGGAGCTGCCTGCTTAGAGCCTGATGTCACCTTGTCTCTAAAAAAATGGTGTTTCAGGTCTTAGGTCAAACAAACTTGACCTCAATCACCATGTATGGCCCACTGTAGCTGCTTTCACTTAATACATGGTCTCTCTATATCAGGGAAGTGCAGAATGTGCATCTTGAAAAGTAACTAAAAACAGATACTTTAACCAGCATCCAAATATACAAGTTACAGTCAGTTACAGTCATATTAAGTAACTACCTTACTGTATATGCTTATAATATGAATATGGGTAGCTTGTGAATTTCCTGTTGAGGGTCAATAAAGTCGTATGACTTTACAGCAGATACTGTATCCTAGAATACTGTAAGTATAGTACTTAAATAAATGTACTTAGTTACTTTCCACCACTGAAAAAGGACACGTTAGTCATTAAAAACACTGATAATTAAAAAACTCATGCTGAAATTTATCCCACAGACCATTTCATTTTGCACCACCATCAGACCTCAGATGTGATAATGTCTTTCCCTTTCTCTTTTGCATTTCACAACAAATGCTAGCACGTCTTATTTGTGTAATAGGGTTAGGAATCATGTTACAGTCACAGTTCTCATACACCTTGTGTGTGTCAAGTGTGTCTGTGTGTGTAAGAGAGAACATCTGTTCTGAAGACACTGAATTTTTATACTGTACAGTGTGAGAGAATATGGATGCCACTGATGTCATGTTGTTTGTGTGAGACTGTGTGTTTTGCTGTGTTTTATTAGGTTGTGTAGACAGAGGACAGTCAGAAATAGAGTATGTTCCCAGGTCTTAAGGTTATTTGCTGAAGTCACTGGCCAGTGGTTTATGACAGGCCATTTTAACGCTCAATTAACAGGTCCAACACAGGCCAGACGGCTCTGGTTAGCCAACCCTAGTGATATAAGGACATTGTGGTCTCTCTGGGAGCCACACATGCATGATTGTGTCCTCCTCACCAGTGAGTCTTTATAGAGTACAGATGTAACAGATTCTGTTGTCAGTATTACTTTTATATTGATACATACACACAGACACACTGACAGCTAAACAGCCTGTCATTTTTTACTACAATGACTGAGTGACTTTGCCAGTGATGGAAAATAAACAACAATTTTAAACACTAGACATGATGAATGAGCTTCATATTTCAAAAATTCTCTTTAGGTCTGCTTTCAGTGAGTTGAAAGCTAAAGCACTGACATCTTTTATAAACATGTAAAATGTTGGCTTCAACCCATTACATGGTAATAACTGAATCAATTCGATTAAAACAAAAGGCAAGGCAAGAAAGTATTTATATAGCTCATTTCATACACCTGGGCAGTTCAAAGACATTACATAAGGCATAAAAGACTTTCAAAAAGAAATACACTATACATACAGCATCAATTGTAATACAGCAACAATTTACCATGATGAATACAAAAGAAGAATGTAGATTGTCAGTATCGGTCCTGTTCAAAACCAGTCGCTATTCGGGGACTATGATGCTGCTACTGCTGTTTCTATGAACATGGTCACCAAGAACCTGGTTCCGCCTCCAGATTTCCATCTACTGTGCATAATATCTGTTTGACTGCTCAGGCCTATTCACTGGAAGCCCTAATGGGACTGATATGTACTGTAAAGTTTTATTAGAGGCTGGTGCACAATCACCATTTGAACAAATGTACTGCCACAGGTGACCTACAGTGGATAATTTCCAGTTAAATAAAAATTGACATATATCTATGAATCTTCTGAACCATTGCTTAAATTTACATAATTATTTTGGGCATTTGCAATACAATTAAACATCTGTAATATTTGCAGGGCTAATTTGAACCTCTGTACTTTATTAAAAGCTGTAGCACTGTAAAAGGTAATATGTCCATGTTTAAAAAAGGCAGCAATATAAATGTACAAACGTTATATTTCCTGCTGTAAGTAATCAGTAATAGATGGACTGACTTACCTCTGCTTAATCATTATGAGCAAGAAGACAATATCTGAAAACCCTAATCTTATCAATCCCATTAGCCTAGAAAGTGGAGTACTCCGTGTTTTGCATACAGTATGTGGTATCCTTTGATATGCATCCCATGCAAATGTGCTGACTTTAATTTGATGACATTATGTATCATATTACAATTGGATCCCACAGGTAGGCAGGTCGTGACGTAGGCTGGCACTAACCCGACCCCCGCCCCACGCCTCCACCGTCCCGCCTGCCTCCTAGCTGTGTCCGCCTCCGTCCTGTCTGGCCGCCCGGTATCTGGTCCGCCGCTCCGCGCTCTGCCCCGCTCCCACCCCGTACCCGAAGCCTCTGCCTCTGCCTCCTCGTTTACCACCCCAGCTTCCCGAACCCCCATCCGCACAGTGAATGCACCAGCGCCGAAAACATGACGGGCATCGCCGCTGCGTCTTTCTTCTCTAATTCCTGCAGGTTTGGGGGCTGCGGTCTCCAGTTCGAGTCTCTCGCCGAGCTCATCGTCCACATCGAGGACAATCACATCGGTGAGTCGGGCCAGAGGGGGGGACGGAGCTAGGCAGCTAGCAGGCACTAGCTAGTGCTCTAGCTAGTTAAACTAGCTAACCGCAGACAGGCTCGGCTTTGCATTCCGCTATTCCTGCTCCTCGCTCTGCGTCGAGGTTCGTCAGAGCGCGTCACCAACATGGGACTTCAGTTCTTTGTAGAAAGATAAAATGGAAAATAGCTGGCCAGCATATTTTATTCTGCCTCAGCTGCGATAGTTATCTTTTGCGGCAGCAACCCGACTATGAGGCCCCGCGTAGGGCTCATAGGTGTAACTAGCATCCCGGCCAGACAGCGGTTTCACAGCTAACATTGCAGAAGAGTCTGTTTACGTATCCAGGCCTGGTGCAGCGCAGCCGGGGCTCCTCTCACACCGCTTGTGTGTTGAACCCTGTCGCCTTTGCAGTGTCGATGCAAAGCATCAGGATATTGCCCTTTTCAATGCTTTCCGATTATATTGGTGTCATTTTAATTACCACTGGCACTATCAGTTGAATTAAGTTGTGGCAGACATACAGTAGCAATAATCACATTTTCCTCCACATGCACAAGCTTCAACTTGTTGCACTGCTTATTAGATTTGCATCTGACAGTAAACCATTTAACTAATGGCAAAGAAACACTCTCCTAAGTATTACTTTATTAAAGTAATGTATTTTCTATGTGTAGGTAGGCCTGCTGGTGTTGGTTGTTGAGTGAGTGGAGGTCAGTTATCTACTTATATTTACAAGCATCACAGAGAAAGCATTGCCTAGTTTTTAAATGAGGGACTACCTCTTGTCTTCATGCTGCAGTGAAAATGCATTAAATTACTAATACTTGTTAAATATTTAACACTTTTTGAAGCACAGATCAAACTCTACCTGCTGCCCAGACACAAAGTCACCCAGTCAGTTAGATTAACACACAGTCCACTACAGCATGTTATGCTATAGAAACATTTTGGAAGATGTGAGCCACCAAAATACTTAATAATCCATAACAGAGTGGATGTGGGCTAATCATTATTTGTGGCATGCATCCATACTCATTACGCTGTTTGAAGGGGGTGAGGGGGTAGAATGGATGCTTCACTGAGCCAGTCTCCATGGCAACTGGCTGTCTCTTATGGGGTTAGGGGCAGTACCTGCCTTCTCAGTAATAAAGAGCGCTCCCGAGCAACTGGCTATGGCGAGGACAGCCAACATGTGTCATGATGTGGGGCTGATGTTTAAACAAGGGGTGAGGTTTGTGTGACTGTGTTTGTGGGTGAAGAGTGGAGGGGGCGGGTTGCAGTGTTGTGGACCACTTTTTATTCCATCATGTATGCTTCCTGGGTCACTTCCAAATGAACCAAAGAAGAGAGAAATCACCACTTTGAATGAACACTTGATTTTATATCTTGTGACCTGTGGCTTGGTAGACCACAGTGTTTCATGTGACCCACTAATCGGGTCTTGTTTTTTCAGTCCCACAACCCAAACCCCACAGACAATGATATGTTCCCCATGTGGCTCCTAGCTTGACCTTTGAACCCAACTATCAGCTGAGCAGAATGGCGATTTACAAGTGATATAACTTGAATTAATGAGCTGCCCCTCATCAGTGGCATCAAGCTCACAGACCATCTGATAAATACAACTTGCAGATCAGTTATCACAGGGGTAAGTGTGACACATGGAGGGGACTGAAGTGAGAGTGTAGGAGAGGAAGCAGAGCGGTGACATTTAGGTTTGACTCTGGTTTGGTTTTGAAATTATTCAGTGGTGTGTGATCAGTAATAACAAAACAAAAACTAACATGATCTTCCCAGCTAATTAATATGAAATATCAGATAAGCTCTTTAAGGCTTTGCAGATGATAGGTGGCCTTGATTGGCGATGATAGCATCTTAGCATCTTTGCAGATGATAGGTGGCCTTGATTGTGGTGTAACCTGCAGTGTGCAAACAGATTATGAAAAAATGGTACTAACCATAAATCAGATAACCTACAAGTGACAACAGTTTTATAATAAAAGGTGCAGATAGAGGTAAAAGTGAGCCGGCAGGTCTCACCTCAGGGTGCAGAGATCACTTCAGTGCTAAAAACACCATTGTTTATATGCATAGACTGTGCTGCCCTCTTGTGGCAGGAAGATGTTGGCCCTCTCTGTATCCCAATTATCTCAGCTTGTAACTCGTGCAGTCATTGCCCACAGCAAGCAGACCAGATGATCCTGTCAGGATCCTTTCCATGAAAAAATTGGTTAATGTGTTGGGTCTTCAGTGCTGACCTCATCCTGGAAGAAACCAGTAACACACCCACACTGTTGAATGCACAGGGTTTAGGTGCACCATGTTAAGTGTGGCTGCTGTTGTTGAAGGCTGTGCACGGTAGCTCCTGGTAAGGTCTGAGGAATGTAATGATGTCAGGCTTTGTCTCCCAGAGTGCACAGCAGCAGTGTGTGGTGTTCTCACCTGCACAAGCACATACCTGTCTCTTACTTCAACAAAGATAAAGAGAGAGGGAGGGAGAGGCAATCAGAGAGATTAAAAGTTGGGGAGGGGTTTGAAAGAGAAAATTAAGAAAGGAAAAACATCAGGGGGAGTATAGGGAAATCCCAAATACATTACCTTTGTTTGGACAGAACTTAGTTAAAAACATTTTCTTTCCTTTTGTTTCGGTTTTACAGATGGAATCAAGTGACTTGACATGCTTATAATAATATATTTCTGCTAAAGCTTGTTCATAATTAAATTACAGTAGCCTTTAAAGATGTAATCATTTAGCCAGCAGGCTGGTTCTTTATCTGCTGTGGTAGATAGCTGCACTGCTTGTGCAGCTGGGAAAGCAACACAGGAGCTGAAACCACGGCAGATAAAGGGCAGCAGACAAGGCAAATACAGACCATCTTTCTCGTCGTAGCAGGCGGGAAAACCCGTTTTCTGCTGTTAGTTCTTTAAAGACCAGTGTGTTAGATGAACTGCAAGAATTTGCTTTTATTGAATGTGGCTGAGCATCATTTTGAGAGGAAATGATTTTCAGAACTTAAAAAGGATTATTCAGATAATTGATGAGTTGATAGACGCAATAATAGGCAATTATTTTGAAAAATCAATTTATCTTTTGAATTATTTTCCACCCAAAAATGATCATTTGTCCCTGTTACCACCTTCTCAAATGTGAAGATTTGCTGTTTTTGTCTTTTATCAAAAATGTGATTATTGTATATATGTAGTGTTGCAAATAATTATTTATCTTGTTTTTTTTTCTATCATTCATTTGATCAGTATCAGTCAGTATTTGATCAGTATTGTCTGCCCAACAGCTGAAAACCTAAAGATTTACAGTTTGCAGTTTATAAAACAACTCGAACCAGAATGAAAATTATGGATTCTTGAAAAACTAACACTGAATTGATTATTGGTATATTTGTGTGAAGCTTTATGTTAACAAATCATGATCATGCCTTTTGCCATGTTGTGATATTGTGTTTGCCTTTTCCCTTTGCTCACCCCCACCCCACCCCACTCCTCCTCTCCCTCCCTCTGGTTCTCTGCTGCTCTAGAAACAAGTTAAAATGTTCTCTGTGGCTTAATTAGAAGCCTGCAAAACAGGCTATGCCTTCTTGTCCTGGGCACACACACACCTATACTTGTGCACATCCATGTGGACGCATGCACCCAGTGTGTATTCAGTAGGGGCCAGCCGTGCGCTGCTGGTGAGAAATGGACGTACATGTTGAAATGAGCAGAGCAGTGTTGACTGGGTGCTACTATTCAAATCAGTAAAAGTTTCAACCCATGTTGCCTCCTGAGTGTCTGAATGAAATTGTGTGTGCACGCAGTTTCCCCTCGTGCTCCAGCGATAGGATCAGTGTGTCAGCTTCCTGTCCTGCTAGGTGAGCGGAATTGTAAAGCCAGTGAACATTGACTGCAGCCTTCTCTTTAGTCTATTTACATCAGCACCCCACCTCCCCCATCCTGTCTGTGCACACACACATGCACACACTCACCTCATGCCTATTTGTTTGTGTGTGAGCTTGTGTGCAGACAGTTCTGGTCTCCACATCTGAGCAGCGGGTAGGATTCTTAAGGCTCAGCTATAAAAGACTGCCAGAGTCCACATCTGCGGACCACCACAGATGTGTGCGCGCGCACGCGTGTGTGTGAGACTGCTCATGGATCCATGCCTCTGCTATCTTTTATCCTTCCCTAATCTTTTCAGTGCTGTGTGCGGATGTGTATGCATTGTGCAGCAGCAGCAGAGTGACTTTTATTTTCTTGGGTTGTTTTCTTCTTTGCTGGTTTCCTTGCATGGTGGGATGTCTGCATTCTTTTTTAGTTATGAAGTGAAATAATTAAAAATGCCTTAAAACCAAAGGGCTAAGTAGGCAAAATGCAAACACTTGGGATCAATTAGAAGGAGCTACCAGGAGTTTGGTATTAGTTGTTGCACATAAATGATCTAGTTGGATCTGAATTGCAATACATCTGCTAACATTTACATGCAGCTACAATTAAACATGCACAAACTCACATCAATACTGCTCGTTTTTAGTTTGTCATCTTCTGAATGTTCCCCTGTTGAACACCTGATGGCACTGGAGCTCAATAGATGCACCCATTGCAGTGTGCTCACACACACTTGCTCCATGGGGTGGGTGGTGGAGCTTTGAAGTTTACACTGCTTCCCTCAGGCAGTGGAAGTTGCCTATGTAGTGTTACTGACAAGTCAACTGGAAAAAGTGTGTGTGTGTGTGTATGTTTCGAGTAATACACTGAGTGCATTCATCACAGCCTCTGGGTCACTCCTTCATTGTCAGATAAATGTCTTTGCCACATTCAGACTCTGGTTACAATTAAGCAACGTTGGGCATTGGTAGTAAATGAAAAAGGGCTTGGCACTGGCTTAGTAATGCACTGCTTATGGAAGCATTCAAAATGTATCTGCAGGCTGCCACACATCACAGAATGCAGTGTTAAGAGACATCCAGTAACATCAGCAGCCTGGCAAGAAGAATAGACATATGAGGCAGCTACACATGAGCTGCATGAGTATTCACACATCATTTTCTCTCCACAGAGAAAGGTGATTAATCTGAATATCTCTCTCTCTCTCTCTCTCTCCTTGTCTCAGACACAGATCCGCGGGTCTTGGAGAAGCAGGAGCAGCAGCAGCCCACTTATTTGGCCCTAAGCTATATCAATAGGTACACACACACACACACACACACACACAAAACCAAAGGTGTCTGTCTAGAAAGAATGTAAAATTGTCCTCATGCTGTGTTGAATTTTGGGTAAATGCACCATTTTGGAGGATCACACTACATAGATCTATAAGTTAATTTAAATTAAAATACTATCCCATACTGCTACATACAGTAGCGGATGCTTCAACTGTGTCCAGGACAGGACAGACATCGATTCATCTGAAGTGGTCGTGTTATCTGCTGACAGCTGCTAGCTAGCACTGGCTGCTAAGCCAAGAGATGAAATCAGGGTGTCTGCCATTCTCATCAACAGGATCTCTGGGTCCTCTCCAAGTTATCTCCAGTCAGCTAAGGTCAGCCATTCTGAATTACCACAGTCAGTAAAGTGAGATCTAAATGATTTAAGCAGCTTTTTAGCCAAACAAAGCAAGAGTGTATGCAGGTAAAGACAGTACGTACAGTATCTTCCAAAATGGCACCCCTTTCTAAACATTCAACACGGCCTGACATACCTTCACATCCTCTATAGATGGCAGCATTGCACCACCAGTGAAGTTCTGTTGATGTGTGTTTGAGTGTGTGTGTTTATGTGGCTTGACCAATGTCTTCCCATAGACACAGCAGTGACTCATCCACACACCAGCAGAGAAAACCACACAGCACAATCACTCCTGGCTCCCTGCACTGCAAAAGGCACTACCAAATTCCATTATGGCATGTGTGTGCTTTTGTGTGGTGAACTGACATGGTACATTCCAGTTAATGCCCCTTTAAATCACTGAAAAAGATAACGGTAAAACAGAGAGAGAACCAGAGCGTCAGGTTTTGTTTTCTGTGTTTTCAGGTTTGCTGAAGTGGTAAGGTTGTAAATGTCATTTGTATTTACTGTGCAATGTTGTAATGTTTAAAGAGGCCTTTTATTCAGCAGCTTAATTATGTTGTGTCAAAGCGCAAACTGTCCTTTCAGAGCAGCAGTCTACAGAGCAGATATAAATACCTGAGATCAAACCTGAAAGGCTGCTATTCAAGCAACAAATATAGAAAGTTTGAAATCACAAGCAGAAGACGTTTAAAGAATATTACAGCAAATATGCATTGCACCAGCAAACTGGCAACACCTGGGAGACATTGCAAAAGAGACGTTTTGATCACATCAGCCAAGATTTAATCAAAACTCAACTTATTAGGGAGAGAAAACATGGAGATTAATGTCACTGTCAGTTTATTTATAGCACCTTTTGTACATTTGTTTTGCGACCATTGCCTCCATTTATAAAGTGTCCAGACTGATAAATTGCTGTTATTGCTTGTTACAAATGCAGATGTCACTATTTCAACTGATAAGTACCAAGAAATGTCCATACAGAGATGCTAAACTAGGTCTGAGCTAATGAGATGTCATTATGTAAAAAGAAAAAAAAATCTAAGGGATCCTTCTCAGGAATGTTTGATTATGATTATGATTTTAAAAAAACCTACATTTAGCTGATATATTTTTTTCTGATTTGTTTTTAACTCCCAAGTATTGATATCATCATCAGCTTAAACAATCCCACATTGGTTGCACAGAGACTTGTTACAGCATTTACTGACAACACCATATTTGTGGTGCCAGGTTCATGACAGATGCGGCACGCCGGGAGCAGGAGACCATGAAGAAGAAGGCCACTCCCAAACTGTCCCTGTCCATCACAGGCGGACTGTCCAGGAACAGCACGGCCACACCTCCTCGCCACACCAGCGGTAACCTGACACCTCCCGTCACGCCCCCCATCACCCCCTCCTCTTCCTTCCGCAGCAGCACGCCTACAGGTATGACAGGTGTGTGTGTGTGCGTGTTGAAATGTGTGCTTGAGACGAAGAAAGATGGATTGATTAAATGTGTGGAGTGAATAGAGGTGCTGAAACAGACTAATGTTAACAGGCAGAAACAGAAAAGGTGTAATTGCATGATCTAGAGCGTATTCATGAGAGTGGAGATGGCGTATTGATGTGCATATAAAGATATTTGTAAGCCAGGCGGAGTGCACCTTATTTTACACCTGGTGATAGAGCAGGACAATTCAAAAGATAACTTAAAAATATCTGCCAAGAGAGGACGAGCCAGCTCAGCTGATATTTGTAAATAGAAACCACCAATTATTTACTCATAATCATAAAAAAGTTATTTTATAATAAACGTTAATGTTAGTATTTGCTCAATGTTTGACTCATGTCAGAGTGGAAAGTCGAAGAGGTTTAAACCCAACAGCTGTCTACTGCTGAGTGTCTGTGTGTGTGCTGGTTTTGGTGGTTCCTGCAGTGAGCAGACCAGTCAGCACTCTGCTAATTACATAGTAGCTGTCACACTGTGTGTTCTCACAGGGCTGCATGTTGCACAACCCAGAAGCAGACGTCCAATTTCCAGCCCAAACCTAGTGTTAGGTCTGAGCTTATACATCAGCAGGGCTACACACAAACACACACCATCTTTCAACATGTGCCAGGGTGCCATCTATTTCCTCATGCTGAGGTGCAGCACTTCCTGTGAGATGGTGGGGGTCAGAGGGGCCTTTGTGTGTGTGTGTGTGTGTGTGTGTGTGCATGCAAGCCTGCCTGAACATTTCAGTAATGTGTGTGCATGCATGAGAGTAGAAAATGTTCTGCCCTTAACAAAGCACTTTTTTCAGGCTGAGCAGTTGTGATCTCTCCCACTTAATGATCTCATTCTCATTTCCAGTCCCTGCATTCTGACTCATAGGCACACACAGAAGCACAGACTCACACTCATGCCATTGCTGATTTGTCTGAGCCGTGCTTTCAGTGACATGTGGGCTGCTAATGCACGACAGCAGGTGCAGAATACAGTGAAAAGTTTTAATTTAAAAAAAAAAAATCAGATTTTTTCTTTTTGCCAAATTCCCAAAGCATGACACCCTCTATGGTTCAACAGCACATTTCATCTGGGATGACGAGAATATTTCACCACTGTGCCCCCAGGCAGCGAGTACGATGAGGAGGAGGTCGACTACGAGGAGTCGGACAGCGATGAGTCGTGGACCACTTTTGCTAAATTCCCAAAGCATGACACCCTCTATGGTTCAACAGCACATTTCATCTGGGATGACGAGAATATTTCACCACTGTGCCCCCAGGCAGCGAGTACGATGAGGAGGAGGTCGACTACGAGGAGTCGGACAGCGATGAGTCGTGGACCACAGAAAGCGCTATCAGCTCTGAGTCCATCCTCAGCTCCATGTGCATGAATGGGGGAGAGGAGAAGCCATTTGCCTGCCCTGTCCCTGGCTGTAAGAAGAGATACAAGGTAAGGCTGTAGCAGAGCACAGAGAAGTCAGTCACAGCAGCAGGGTGAGAGGTTTTGTCCACACTGGAGTGTTTTTCTGAGTATTATGTTTGGACACACTGTTTGGAAAAGCAAAATGTAAATCCAGAATGTCGTGATTGGAAGCTGCGATATGGTACAGGGTGGGCCCCGGAAAATTAGCCCGCCTCTGGCGATAGTGTGAACGAGCAAGTGGATTGTTTTGGAGGTGGACTACTTTTCCGTGGCCCACCCTGTATATTTGCTTTGGTTACATTTTATTATGGCTGGTAACAAAAACCTCACCCAGGCCGTTATCCATGGACAGCATGGGAAAATGCCTCTTTCAAAGCGAAACAGTGACATGGGATGGAGCCACGTTTGGTAAATGGGTCCATGTGTGGGTCCCATGCCAATTTCTTTTGTATGTGTTTAGGTCATGGCTGGCTACTTTTGTTTTAATAAAGAAGAAAGACAGGAGCACCCTGAGTTAAAAAGAAAATCATTTTAAAAACACACATTTATTATTTAGTAAAAGCATCTTTCTTCTTTTTTCTTAATTTTTTAAATATCATATTGTGCACTTTTAATAATGGCAATATCATACTGTGACTTTTTGGTACAGTTATATTCCTAATGTTCAGTACCGCATGGTAAACCTGGTGTTTGATGCAAGGTAACATAATAAAAGCGGTCACTGTAACCCTTCTCCCCCCTTTCCTTGTGTATCTCTCTACCCCTATGCTCCTGGTTCCTGTCTCACCAGAATGTGAATGGTATCAAGTACCATGCCAAGAATGGCCACCGCACGCAGATCCGTGTGAGAAAAACCTACAAGTGTCGCTGTGGCAAGAGCTACAAAACCGCACAGGGCCTGAGACACCACACCATCAACTTCCACCCTCCTGTCTCCACCGAGATGCTGCGCAAGATTCAAGGCTAGAGCCCGTGCTCACACTAATCAGCTACCCCAGACATAGCCCTGTTCTATCCTGACTTTCTTTCCCATCCTACACACTAAAGGGTTAAGTGCATGCTTTAAGTTTTCATTTTTCATCTTTTTTGTTACATTATTTTTTCTATCCATGGTATATAACTTGTATTTTTGAAAGAAATGTATCTTTGTAGTATTTTTAATTGTTGTACATTTGCACATTCATATATGCTATCACATTATTTTTTTCTTCTATTGTTTGACTTACATAAGGTGCTAACTGTAAAAAACAACGAAAAGAAAAGACAAAAAACAAACGTAAGAGGAGAGGGGAAACATAAAAGGAGATGCAAAACGGGAAGTACAGCCGAGCTCTGCTCGTCTTCAAGTGGGATGAAGTTGACTGCTAATGCTGATCTGAGTCCAGTAGTCTATATACTTGGTCTCTCTTAGATAGAGTCCAGCTGAACTTGGATTTGTGCTTTCACAGTAGCTTCTGGGGTTTAAGTGCAAGAGGTAAGTTATACATTAAATAGATATATTGATATATAAACAATAGACAGATATGTATGTGTACATAAAAATTTATAAAAGTATTCATGAGCATATACATAAATAGTCACACTGTATTTTCAAGCTTTATTTTATATATTTTTGTCAGTGTTTTAGATGGTGTTTTTCCTATGTATCAGTAAGAGTCCCTTTTCATTCCTTTTTTACCGAGACGGCCTGTTTTGTACAGTAATCGCCAAGATCAAGGTCAAACCGCTGGCTGATTTTAGGTTCAGATGGTCAATTCTTCTTTCACACCATCCAACAGTTTAGGAACTGATATGCCTTTGGGTTCGACACTGAATGCGATGTGCTACTGTTGATCAGGACCACAGCCCAGGCAAATAATCCATACCTTAAAGGTTTCATCCCAACAGAAAGCCACCCATGCACTTCATATCTCTGGTGCTCCCTCATTAGTTGCCAGAGCTGTGCTCCAGAGACTTAGCCGTGAAAACAGGTTGAGCATTGTACTGTTTCCAGTTGTCAAGATCTTTGCTGTTGTTCTGTTTTTGATTGTTGCCAACAGCTCTCCACTGCCAAATCATTGACCATACCATGTGCCTGATGTGGGTGGGGGGGGAGTCGTAATGAAGGTTGCCAAACCTGTGGCAATGATGCTCTTGTTCATCACACCTTCAGAATGTGCAGATGAGTGGATGTACTTAGACGGAATGTCCTCATGCATGTGTTGTGTTTTGATGAGTGTGAATGACAAAAGAGTGGATTTGTATTTGAAAGACATTACAGTCTACAACCTGGTATTTCGGTGTGTTGTAGACAACAGCATTCCAGTTAATAGTATGTGTGTGAGATGTGTATGAGCACTGTGTGTGTTTTTCCAGCTGTATCCAAGTCATCAGTCTGTAGAATGTTACTGTATTCTGTGTGTTTCACTGTTTGGATTTGTCATGTTTCTATGTTTCTGTACTGGGCTGCTGGTTCGACTCCTGTAGCACCAGGATAGTTGGCTAACTGGCTGGCTGGTGGTGGTGTTTGTGACATGTAGTGTTGGTCGACTTGTTGCCCCCTGACTGGTTTCATCATTTATTGCCTCTAGTGTTGCAGTGCAGTGCCACATGCCAAGGCGCATTCACCCATGACATCAATTCCTTCATTGTTTTTATTCTGCATTACGCTCAAAGCTTTTCTCTTTTTTCATTTGATGGGTACAGTGGCCTCTGACGTGCACACCCTCCTGTCCCTCAAGCTGCTGTTGCCATGGACACTACTGGATGAGGCATGGTAGGGGGATTTATTTTTGACAACTCTGATGCCAGAAAATAATAATAAAAAAAAACAGTTACCCCATAAATTATTGAATCCCCTAATTTAAATTGTTAATATGCTGTACTGATTATAGTAATCACCCTACACCTGTCATGTACAGTGCATCCATAAAGGATTCACAGTGCCTAACTTTTTCCACATTTTATGTTACAGCCTTATTCCAAAATCGATTAAATTCATTATTGTTCTCAAAATTCTACAAACAATACTCCATAATGACGTGAAAAAAGTTTGTTCAAAGTCTTTGCAAATGTATTAAAAATAAAAAACAAAAACAAAAAATCACATGTACATAAGTATTCACAGCCTTTGCCATGACACTCAAAATTAAGCATCCTGTTTCCACTGATCATCCTTGAGATGTTTCTACAACTTGATTGGAGTCCACCTGTGGGAAATTCAGTTGATTGGACATGATTTGGAAAGGCATACACCTGTCCATATAAGGTTCCACAGTTAACAGTGCATGTCAGAGCACAAACCAAGCCATGAAGTCCATGAGAAAAATTTCTGCAGCATTGAAGGTCCCAATGCACAGTGGCCTCCATCATCCCTAAATGGAAGACGTTTGGAACCACCAGGACTCTTCCTAGAGCAGGCCGCTCGGCCAAACAGAGATCGAGAGAGAAGGGCCTTAGTCAGGGAGGTGGCCAAGAACCCAGTGGTCACTCTGAGAGCTCCAGCATTTCTCTGTGGAGAGAGGAGAACCTTCTAGAAGAACAACCATCTCTGCAGCACTCCACCAATCAGGCCTGTATGGTAGAGTGGCCAGGTGGAAACCACTCCTCAGTAACAGGCACATGGCAGCCCACCTGGAGTTTGCCAAAAGGCACCTGAAGAACTCTCAGACCATGAGAAACAAAACTCTCTGGTCTGATGAAACAAAGATTGAACTCTGGTCTGAATGCCAAGTGTCATGTCTGGAGGAAACCAGGCACCGCTTACCACCTGGCCAATACCATCCCTACAGTGAAGCATGGTGGTGGCAGCATCATGCTGTGGGGATGTTTTCAGCAGCAGGAACTGGGAGACTAGTCAGGATCGAGGGAACAACGACTGCAGCAATATACAGACACATCCTTGATGAAAACCTGTTCCAGAGCACTCTGGACCTCAGACTGGGGTGACGTTTTCTTTCAACAGGACAACAACCCTAAGCACACAGCCAAGATAACAAAGGAGTGGTTACGGGACAACTCTGTGAATGTCCTTGAGTGGCCCAGCCAGAGCCCAGACTTGAACCCGATTGAACATATCTGGAGAGATCTGAAAATGGCTGTGCACTGACGCTCCCCATCCAACCTGATGGAGCTTGTGGTACTGTAAAGAAGAATGGGAGAAACGGCCCAAAAATAGGTGTGCCAAGCTTGTAGCATCATACTCAAAAAGACTTGAGTCTGTAATTGCTACTTCAACAAAGTATTGAGCAAAGGCTGTGAATACTTATGTACATGTGATTTTTTTTTTCGCTTTTTATTTTTATTAAATTTGCAAAGACTTCAAACAAACTTTTTTTTCACAATGTCATTATGGAGTATTGTTTGTAGAATTTTGAGGACAATAATAAATGTAATCCATCTTGGAATAAGGCTGTAACCTAACAAAATGTGGAAAAAGGTAAGCGCTGTGAATACTGTCTGGATGCACTGTACAGTATGTGCTGTCTAACAAACAAGCACAAATGTTGCTTGAAGACATCCATGTCTATCCAGAAGCTCCAGTAAGTGATCCAAGATCTGTAAAATGTTGGAATCAGGATTTCTCTTCCTGAAAATAATGCTGAGATAATGTTCTGCCTGTGATTTAAAAAAAAAAAAAAACTCCATTCCCACCTTTCAGCGATAGCCAAGCTCTGACAAACACTAGTAAATCATCCCTGCTTCTCGGACACCACCGTCACCATGGCAGTAGTTTGAGCTTTACACGGGGGCCAATTGCAGTATTACACGTTATGGGAGAGGAGGAGATGAGGGAGGGATTTCAGTTTACCATATACAGTGAATGTATTGTACCGTGTATCTGTTGTAAAGTGCTTTTAAATTATATTTTCATATGTAACGTGGAGACCAATGTTTCCTTTTTGTATGGGGGGACGACAGGTTCTGAGCGGAGTGACTTGTAAATGATGTCAAATCGTCTTTCTATATAAAAAAAGAAGCTGCTTAAATGTAAAAAGGAAATGACTGAAAAAAACCCAGCAAAATAAAAAGCTCTGTAGCGCAAACTGGTGACTGTTTTTACCCCCTTTGAACCTAAATGAAGGTCAACAGTAAATGCATTTAGGCAAGCTTAGTTTATTCATAAAGATCTTTGCAGTACATACTTTATCCACTGTCCAGTCATTCTCACATGAAAAGGGCTGCTTGGACATATGACATACACACACACACACAGATTTGCCTTTTGATTACTGGGCATGTGCAAATTTTTAAAGCCTGAATACAACACTGTCGGGTCACTCTGAAATGATGAAAAACAGACAAGCGGTACAGTATGAAGCCCTATGAGTGACATGACATTCACCCATGAGGGCCAACATGAAGCTGTGCACAAAGCAATGACTTGATCTTCACAGTTCTAATGTGAAAACATGGAAGTACATAACAATAAAAGTGTCTATTTGCCTTAAATGTGAAACAGTATTTCTCAGCCCAGCTTCATATTGATTGACCAAAGACCAGAAAGTGCACACCACAAAGTAAAACATCATTGGTCAGTCATTCTTTCATCACTACAACATGAGGGAGGTAACAGTGAGGGGAGGCAGGGCCACAACAGTAATTCACAGGTCTCTCCACAACTTATATTTACTGTCATATGTACATTACATTCAGAATTAAGCCTTTTTAGTGCAGATACATGAAATTATAGTGCTGTTTTTGTTTCAACTGTCTGATGTATTTGCAGGACACTGTCTTATGTGCTGTGTGGGAGAAATCTCCACCACACTTCTGCAATTATATACAGACACTCAAATGACTAAGGCATCTCACAGCTCAGATCTGTGATCTGCATTTACACTTTAAAAGAACATAGTTATCTTTCTGCCTTTCCAAGCTGTATTGGCTGCTTTATTACAAGGAATATTCGAGGAAATGAAAGAACAGGGAGATTAAGATACTAAAATGTTTTTTCTTCCCCAATTCAAGCTGTTGCTACAATTCACTCTGTTGGCCTGAGCAATTGTAATTTTATCATTTTCAGTAGTTTTGAACACAGAATAAATGCATGCACTTTTATTGGTGCTTTAGTCCCTTGACGGAAAAGGATGAGCATAGAAATGATACAAAGGTAAAAGGACCTGCTCCCAAGTGTTAATGATCCTTTCACTCACTGTGCATTAAGGTGAATGCTACCCTACTAAATAAACACCTTGGTGGAGTAACTCTGCCTCTTTCACAAGCGGACTACATTCGTTCTAATCTTCAAGACTGCAAAGAAAGTGCTAATGATTGTATATGAGCATACCTTAACCAAACGCCAGTCAAAATTAAGTAACAGTTGACAATACAGCCAAACGGTGTCAGAATTCTAGCTCTGCACTCTGTCCTTCATTCAATCTGCTCAAAGTTGAGCACATGGCCATCGAAGTGCGTGAGGACGTGCCTCTCGAAGAGCTGCTGCTGACAGTTGAGAGGGAACTGCTCAGAGCAGACAGGACAGACCTTCCAGTGGCTTTCCACATGCTGCTCAAAGCTGCGCTGCTCGAAGTGGGGCGGGAAGATCACTTCACAGAGTGGGCAGCGCTTATGAACGTCACTACTGGAAAATAAAAAAGAGGGGGATGGTGGTGGATACAGAGTTGGAACAAAAAGAGGTGGGAGTTTTTGTATTGTTTGAACTGTATATGGATAATGTGTACATTGACATGGTGCATTTACTGCATGTCTGACCCAGGCTAGAATGGCAAAACCACAGAGTATACTTTAACAATGCAGACAATTGCTTTAACAATGTCTTGTAAAAATCTGTGACTCTACAGCACTGCCCTCCATTCAAATTTTATTGTGTTGTAGATTTTGCCCAACAATCTATACACACTAACCTGTAATGACAAAGTGAAAACATTAGAAGTTTTTCAAAAACTGAAATCTCTCATTTACAAAACCATTTCTAATGCTTTGAGTGTTCCCAGGAGCACAGTGGCCTCAATGATCTTAAAAAGGTTGAATATCCAGGGCACTTCCTTGATTTGGCTGTCCAGACAAACTGAGAAACTGGGCAAGAAGGGTCTTGGTCAGGGGGAACATACTTTAACCTCTGCAGAGATAGGAGTTATCTGCTGCATCTCGGCAACTCTCCATCAATCAGACCTTAATGAGATTGGCCAAGACATCACTGGAGTGTCTTCAGGACAAGTCTGTGTCTGTCCTTGAGTATCCAAGCCAAAGCTCAGACCTAAACCTCATAGAGTATCTGTGGAGAGAGCTGCAGATGGCACTTCCTATCCAATCTGATGGAGCTTGAGAGGATATGTCAGGAAGAACAGCATAAACTGCCTAAATCCAGATGTGCAAAGCTTGTAGAGACCTACTGTACCCAAGAAGACTTACAGCTGTAACTGTTGCCAAAGGAGCTTCTACAAAGTACTGACTCACAGGTCTGAATCCTTTGTAAAGGAGAGATTTCAGTTTTTAAACTATTTGGGTAATTGAAAAATGGTTGAAGTATTTTTTTTAAATTTCATGACAATTTACTCTTTATAAAACTGTGATGGGCTTTTTAAAGTTAGTTTTTTCTGGTGTTTTACACCAAACAATTAAATGAGAAAATAATTGGCAGATTATATAATTAATCATTAATTGTAGCCCTACACATGATTTTAAACACAGACACCTACAGATATTTTCATATTAGCCTTGTCTGGTTCACCAGCAGCACGTTGGCTAAGTCAAGCAAAAGGAATCCACCTCCAGTGTCATGGAGTCTGTATTTTATGTGTTTTCTTCTTTTTGGACGTGGAATCCTTTTCATTCTTTATATGCCTTGACTGTATAAGACAAATTATTCTAACATCATTTTTTTCATATTTGTGAGTATGTGTACTACCTGGAATCAAAGCAGAAGCTGCTTCTGGCTTCACTGTGTTTACTGGGCTGATGCTCACAGGATGGCTGAGCTCCATCAGCAACCTGAGAGACACAAGCACATTATAAAAGATGGCTATTTATTCACTCACACAGCTGTACACATACACAAACAAAAAAGGGAAAGTGTTGACAGGGCCATGATGAAATAAACCAGTCCACAGTAGGCATGTGTGGCGGGGTTTCTATTTAGAGATTAGCATACAGCAGGCTAATCCTTCCTCACTAGTCTTTGTTCAGTTTGCTCCCAAACCATCAAAACTACAATCTGACAGACACAAACTGATGTTAAACCTGCCCCTATGCAAAATATCCCCTAATCCCTTTCTCCTGGCCCTCATTAGCTTTGTCTCTTGTGAGCTCTGAAGGAGTGACATTAATTAGAGCTTTATGCAAATAAGTTCCCTGCTTCATCTTTTAAGGGCAAACTGAATTTCCCTTCATTCAGTGACAAGGAGCACACCAGAGACAGAAAGAAAAAGGAAATAAGCAATATTACCATGACAGTGATTCATTGGCTGCAAAACACAAAGGGTGGAAAACAAAGGCTACAATATCATTCATTTATGTTGTGTCAAAATATCCAAATATACTGCTGTGCTGAGATCACACTTATGCTTAAGGTCTAGCAACTTAATGATGTTTTCATCATAAAAACTAAGAAAAATTATTTCAAAATAACAATTATTTTATTAATATGTGCATAATCTAATGCAGAGAAATATGAATTGGTACAGATAGTCCACATGCATTTCCAGAGAATGTCGCACCAGCCTGAGTTTCACTTGGTGGCAGTGAGCTTTCACCCTATATGTTTGTGTGCACTTGCATTTTGTGGCTCCTCTGGTGAATGCTCCAGGCTCTCAGGGGGGCTTGTGCTGCGAGAGGGCTGGATGCAGACCACCTCTCGGTCCCAGCCTGGTGCGCCAGGTCCAGGACTTGGGGGCGTGACTGGCGGTGCACAGGGAGGAGCGCAGGGTGGGGCCTCAGGTGGTGGACGAGATAGGTGCTCGGGAGACTGAGCAACATCCACCGGGTCTGGAAAAGCAGTAACACATGCAGCTGCTATTGTGCTGAGCAAACAGATGGCTGCATAGTTGAAGAGACACAAGGCAATGACTGGACCAATTCTGAATTCCTCGCACCTCTTGTGGTGTTGCTGGAGTAGGGATTTCCATACTGCAGCTCAGCAGGTCTCTGTGGCACCAGTGGTGGAGGGGAGGGGTCCTGGGGGTAGGGCAGGGGGTAGCGCAGCACCATTGGCTGCCTGACTTCAGCACCATGAACACCAGCCTCCTGCTGCCTCTGCCTGGACACATAACGCTGTAGCTGCTGGAGGAAAGAGCGAGTGATCTGTGTTCACCAGGGCTAAAAGAAGTATTATGTATTTATGTACACACATTTCCTGTCACTCAGTGTTCTGTGCTGTCCAGTTAAGCAGTTGAACTTTGACAGCCACTAAATAGAAAGCTATACTATTGAAATACAAGAGCACACATGCTTTATTTCATGTTTTTCTTTCACAATCATGTTTAGATAGCCTCTCCTTTTGTTTAGTTTATGTGCACACTCCATGTGTAAATACTACAACTGTAGTACAGCCGTCATTATTTGTTTGATGAGACAGGGACTGACAATGATTGTTATGTGTTGCCATAGCACATTTTCAGTGCTGGAACCACACAGGCAGTAAGTACTTTTAGCTCAGAGAAGTTTCCCTCTACACTGCTGCTGCCCTTTGTGATTATATGTGAAGCAAGAGCATTAGTACCCTACTCATTACTGTAATGGGTGTCAGACTTTGGCTCTCTCTGCTCTCGCTTTGCTGATAGAGGCACTCATCTTCTCCCTCATTCTTCAAGCTATTCCCCTCTGATCTCCTCTCTTTATGACTTCATTAGTACGCTACTATCAGGTTTAACATTTAAACCAGGGTTAGGAAGGTGAAACAGACACGTCACGTGGCATTTGCACTGTCTAATAGCACGATACCAATGGGAAAAAGAAGCAAGTATAGATGTTTTAATTAGCAGGTAGTGAGGAGAACGGAGAAGGGAAAGAAAAGCTACCGAACTAAGGTGCCTATGTACAAATGCTATAATATTTTTGTGGACTTGATCTGGAGACTGCACTACATCCTTTTCATTCAAAATTTTAATTTGAAACCAGATAAATATTCTATGGCAAACAATACTTTTAATTAACATTCACCAACAAAATCTTTGAAGGTCTGATATGGTGATGGGAAGTGACGCACCAGTCGGCCTTCTTCGCCACTAGTTCTTTCATGTGGGCTTGGTGTGTCTCCGCCCAGAGTAACAGTTCGTTGACTAAAATAATACCCTCTGAGAACCCCCAGTGTTATACTGAAAACAACCAGATGTGTATATGTACAAAGCTCATGCAGAATGGCATGTGCATGGTGCTGCTGCTTTATTTACCCCCTGTAGTTGCTCCTTGTCTCTAAGAGCCTGTGCTAGGTTGTGTTTTAGCTCTGCCACCTCTGTGGTTCGCTCAGCCATCTGCACCTACAGGCAGAAACACACAAGGAACAGGGGGAAAAACATGAGGGTAGAGTGCATACTGATGCTCACACTGACAAAGACACTCAAAATCATTTCCTATATAACAAGTCAGATTTGCTTAATTAGTGTCACGTCAGCCTCAATGTCCCCAAACATTATGGGCTGAAACCAAGATATAAAGACTAGTGATCAAGGCGCTGACCATGATGTCCCTTGGTTACTCACCATTTCTCGACTGTCTGCTCTCTAATGAAGTCAAACCTTCAAAAAAAGGAAAAAAACCCCCCCCCCCCCCCAAAAAAAAAAATTGATAAAGAAAAAAAGAAAACCACCTAAAACTGTTTTCATTATTGACTATCTGTAAAATTACTTTTCTACAGTGCAAGGTAACATCATCAAATGTCTGGTTTTTGCAAGCCAACAATCCTAAACCCAAAGACATTCCAGCTATTTCTCACAATTGAAAACCTAAAACCAGGAAATGCTCAGTGTTTTTGCTTGTCACTTAATGTTCTATCCACTGACTACACCAATAGATCAGTCAACTAACATAACAATCCCTAACCATTTTCTTACTTTCAGGTTGGATTTCCAATCCATTTGTGTCAACTGATGAAGAGGGATATCAGTAGGCAAGTGAGTGAATAAAATATTTGGTGTTGTTTGGTTTTGTTTTATCTGGAGCCGTGTCAAATGTGTAGTTACTGCAAAGCAAACAGCTAAAGTGTGTGTGCAGGGCAGACTGGACCAGACCAGGGGAGTGTAGTAAATCTCTTACTTTCTGACAGGATTGACCCTGTAGGAGCATTTACATGGTTAGTTGCCTGCTTTTCTTTTAATTCATCCGTTTATAGAGATCCCAAATCTCCTCCTGTCTTTCTGCTTCATGTCTCTCTGTCTAATCTACTTTTTTCCACTATTACATTCTGCTAGCTTCTTTGGCTTTCCCCCTCATTCTCTTTCATCTCCTTTTCTCCTCTCCCACCGCCCCCCTCTTTCATAAATTTAAGGCACAGCATTAGAGGGTTAAGTTCAGGTGAAGGGAGCCTGCAACAGTGAATTTCTGTACTCCCCCCGATTCTCACTTCACTCTGTCTATTCCACTCCCTTGTTCCATCCTCTGGGTGGCTGATGTAAACAGCCGTAAAGCATGGCATTCTGTGGCTGCCATTCTTGTCAGTCTCCGGGGCCATTAAGAGCGGCTCAGGGCCCGCAGCACTCACCCCAGACAGGAGACTCTATCAAAGACAGAGGAGAGCCTTATTTACAGCACCGATAAACACACACTCACTCATGGGGATTAAGTGCCAGTAGGTACTTCGGCGGACATTCGCACTCAAAATGCAGCAGGCCCACATGGATGGAACAAGCTCAAGTGCTCGTACTGAATCACACACACATACCACACACATTGGCTCATGTGTGGCATGGATGCAGCGGCTACATGTGCATGCAGACAGTAACCTGGATACTCTGGTTAAATGCATGCTCAAGTAAACTGTTATGAGTATTTGATACTCTGAGACCAAGTGTTATTCTTGGCATTTATAAACCTATTAACCAAAGAGCCACAAGAAGTACCTCTGTCCAAGTGCTGCCACTAGCTACAGTGTACTCTGTCTCTTTGACTGTTTGGATACTTTTTAAAATATCTCTCATTGCTTTTCTGGTTATTAGAATACTATATTTTATTAGTGCTGTATTCAAGATAAGTATATATGAAACTATTCAACTATTTATTTATTTTCATAACAAATTAAGTAATCCATATTCTCAGTTATGAAGATTTGTAAATGCAATATCTTTGGATTTGGCACAGTTGCTTGGACATAACAACCTATTTGAAAATATCACCTTGAACACTGGATTACAAGGACACAAGTCAGTTCAGGCCTGGATTTGTTTCTATTATGTAACCTCATCCAGTGATAGAAAATATTCCGATAAAATGGACAGAGAAACTGATGCATTGAAAATAGTTACTGTATGTACAGTACATACGGATAAGGAGGAGTGCTTGTGTGTACTTTCACATTTGAAAATACACACTGGCGATAGTGGTTCACTGAGTGTGTACTGGATGTACAGTAGCTCTCTTGCTCAAGGGCTTGTACACAAATGCTGACCACTGGGAGAGCATTAACTCCTACTGTATTTCCAGCCACTTGGGGAAGTCAACCAGACTCCTGACAGTCTGAGCTTTATATATGCTGTATATGTTTGCCACTGTGTCTTACTCTAAATCGTTCCTCCTCGTTGGCTAGTCGCTGTTTGAGCGTCTCGTTGATGGCGCACTGCTCCCTCCACTTCTCCTCCATCATCAGCAGCTCCTCCTCCACGGAGCGAGTCTGTTCCTTCTCTGCCTCCCCCATGCTCCTCCCCTCCACCTCCTCAACACCATCCCTCACTTTCTCTGGCTTCAGTGAGCTTTCCACCTCACTGTTCTCCTCAGCGCTCTGCCTCTCGTTCTCCACCTCCACCCAGCTCATCATCCTCAGGCTCTCCTCGGGCAGGCATTCTTTCTTCTCCTCCTTGTCTTGTTTTTCACAGTCTTCCTTTTGGTTTGCTTCTTCTTCACCCTCCTCCACACCCCTCTCCTTCTGCCTTTCTTCCTTTTCTGTGGGGATATGTGGGTCAGAGTGTGTGTGTTCCCTTTTATGAAGTTCTATGGTGATTGCCATCTCATCTGCTTCTTGTAGGACTGCAGTAGCTATATTCCCTATAAAAACACAAAACATTACGTACCTGCTTTGATTCAAGTATTAATGCTTACTATCAAGTGCTAATTTTGGATATTTCAAAACCACATTTTAGTTAATCAATAAGGAAACACCAGGAATTGTGTTATCCTAGTTTTGTAGATAACATCTAAATCATTCGTAGTTCCAGGAATGAATCCATTCAATCCGCATCAGCTTGGTGTTTTAAGATGTGCATGTTGTTATGTGAGGGAGAGTGACAGTATAAGAAACAAAGAGGTTCTTTTACTGTCACTGTGAAATATATATAATCTTCAAAGTGTTATGATCTGTTGAGAAAACTACTGGTGAAAAACCTGAACCCAGATGCCTGTTGTTATGTGTGTGTACCTGCTGTGGGTGACTCTGGACTAGGGGTCAGAGGCTCCTGTGTCGTCTCAGTGGATGCATTTCTCTTTGGCTCCTGAAAACGGGCGCACAGAAACATGCATTGAAACAGTCTAATTGTGCAAGTATGAATCTATCTGCTTGTAATATTTCTTTTCAGTTGTGTCTCATACTTCCACTATCCAGTTACTCACCCCCTGTGACTCAGTTGTGTTTAGTTTGGCAACCTGCCTGCGGAGGCGCTGGCACTCCCGATATTTCTCCTTATAGTGTTCAGCAGCCATATGAAGACGCAGCTTTAGCTCCTCGACCTCCCTCTGCAGCTCAGCCTCTGCCTCTGACACTACCATCATGCTGGGTGTCGCGTCCTCACTGGTCCCAACACTCTGAAACAGGAGGACATAAAAAGAAGAAAACATATATCGCTGTCTGATTTAAAGCAAACACACATGTATTTATGTTGCACTACAAGAATACAAGTCACTAATCATTTGCTTTCTTCTGCTGCAGTCTGAATAAATGCTTAAAAAGGTCAAATAATTCCCTCCAGAAACGTGCTTCTCTCATTTCTGACCTACAACTGAAAGTCTGAGGGACAGAATAAGGACGTCAGACACGGACCACTTCCTTCTGTGCAGTGTTCCTCATGCGATCTAGCTGGCTCTCCATGCGTTGGCATTCAGCCTGAGCATCAGCCAGACTGGCACGGAGCTTGTCAGCCTCCAAACGGGCACGGTACAGCTCAGTCATGGTGTGGTCACGGGCGCTGGCCGAGTCACGAAGCTCTGAGGCCAGCAGGGAGGCCTGTTGCCGGGTTGCCTGCAGCTGCTCCTCAGCTTGACGGAGCTGCTCACGCACACGGACCAGCTCAGCCTAGAAATGTGTAAAGGGAATTTATATATAGATTAACTGATTACCTCAGTTGCCAGATTATTAAATTCACCTAGCTAAATCTAAGTTATTCTAATACAACTGTTCTGCAATAAATCCTCCATTCATGATTCTGATACTGTTTAGTTTTTGTTTTACAGGAGTGTTGATTCAACCGTATTTTCATTTTGAAGACTGTAGTTTGTGCTGCTGTTAAACTGTACTGAATTACACAAAGAGGTGTTAGTGTAATGCAATGTAATTCAACAGTACCTCAGACTATATCCTCCAAAATGATCATAGAGTTATAACCTTCAGACCAGAGGATTTACTAAAGGACAGCTGTATTAGACAGCATTAGTTTTAGCTTGGTGTACCCAATAATTTGTCAACTGACTGGAGGTGCAGTAGACATGTAAAGCATTATGGTTTGGCTTTTCTTGTTATTTTGGCAACCGTATTGCAAACCACCACTACTACCTTGTCAGCCTTGTGTGCCAGCAGCTCTTTCTCCAGGCTGTCCCGCTGGGCAACACAAGCCCTGAGCCGCTCCAGCTCCTCCTGGAACTGAGCGATGGTCACCTCTCTGTTCAGCTCCACTGCCTTCAGCATCTGCAGCTCTGCGCTCAACTTAGTGTTCTCCAGTTCAGTGCTGCGTAGGTGGGCCTTCACATGTAATAACAGAAACAGAACCATGCACAGGTCTGCCTTTCATAGCCAAACACACCTCATTATTCATCCACACTTCTCCTATGAACAGCCTTCCTTCACCTTGTAGAGGTCTCTCTCATCCTTCTCATTCTTCAGTTGGCTCTCAAGACTGTCTCTCTCTGCCGTAAGTTTCTTCAGACGATCGCGCAGACTGGGACAAAAAAATGAATCTAATTTTTGTGGTATGTTTATTTATCCATTTGTCAAATAAGCCATTCATGCAAAAGATGCAAACACAGATAGAATGTCAGGCAATGTACCCCTGTTGTTCACTAATCACTGCGGCAACTTTAGCAGGCCTTACTTGTGGTACTACAGCTACATACTGTATGGAAATTCACCACCACATGACAGCTTTGGTAAAAGGCTGGGCTGACATTCTTCTGTGCAAAATCCTTTCTAGGACATATGTTATTGGCAAAACTTTATATGTGTTTGGGCATGAGTACACATGCATGCAAATATGAACATTAAATCACTTGTTTATGACAATAAATTTTCACATCAGAGAGGTGCTAGTTCCAATCAGTGATTACTTTTAAAGCCTTAGTTTCCATTATTTTGTCCACACTGTGTAGAGGACTAGAGCCCTAACACCTAACCCAGTCAAGTCTTCAGAGAAATGGATGCATTTAGCTGAATGATGGTCATGTGTCAACATTCTCCACTCACCAGTCAAGTTCCGTTTCTTTTTGTAGGCCTCTCTGGGTGACCCCCAGCAGGTCCTCCTCCAGCTGGCGTACCCGGTCCGTGGCCTCTGTCAGCCTCCTCCTCACCTCCTCCCTCTCCTCTGACAGGCCCTGTGATGAGCGCAGCAGCTCCTACGGTACAGAGAGGCAGCTGTGGATCACACTGACAAGCGCTGCAGCCAATCACAGCAGCAGAATCAGCACGCGGAGACTGGCAGAGGAGGAGGAGTGCTGGACTAAGTCAAGAACTTATGCATTACTCATGATTAATCACAGATGGTAATATTTCAGGTGACACATGATGGTCATGCTGCACTACTGCATATTATTTCTATTTTATGCATATTGTATTTATCATTGATACCTACACACAGATGCCATTTTATTAAATACACCCATATAAAACTAATGCAATCTAATACAACAGCCTTGCAACAAAATAAACACCTTCATGAAGGTTATAGTATTCAGTTTTTTTGTTGAAACAGTTTTATATTTGCACACATAGACTACTATATGAGCAAAATATGAATATATTATATGTAGATTTTAAATTGTGTTTCAAGATGTCTTTTTATTTAATTTAATTTTAAATATTCTCTTTCTCTGTTTCCTACTGCTACAGCATATTTCTATAGTAGCTGTAATGTGAAATTCCCTTGTGGGGATCTGAAAAGTCTCATCAATAACCAATCGCCAGTCGCAAATTGTGACTGAAGTGAGCCTCTTATTGAAACCTTCAGCAGCCTTAAATGGACAGAGGGCGTGTGTGGTGAGCACGTACTAGAGCAAACTGAATAACATCCGTGAATTCCTGAAACAAATTTCTGGTATCATACAAAAGGTCATATAAAGTCAATTTTCTCCGCGTGGCATGGCTATGGAGGAAATGTCTTGTTTGAGCTTCCTCTAAATCAGCAGTGAAGGACATTAAATCATTCATAGCTAACATTGGTTGTAACATAACATACCTCTCTTTATACTGTCCTTTCTATTTGTAGCATGTGCACACATACTCACACACACACAGACGCCAGGTGCACTGCTACACATTCAAGGACATATGGAGAAATAGCACAGAGTTTAGCCATCAATCCATAAGAGACAAAGTGCACATGCACACACCAATGCATACTCAGGCCTGTCTCCCTCTGGACGTTGCTCTGTGTGGATTATTGTATGATTTTTACAGCTGGTGTTTGGGAAGCACATTAGCAGTGCACAAAGACTTTAAAAAAGGTGTAGTCGTAAAATTAGAAGCCACAAAATATGTATTGATGTTTTCAAGTTAAACTCAAAGGATATTTTCATCAGCTTGACATGAGCTAATGCACCTACTGTACTGTAAATGCTCTACTACAGATAGCTACTCCCACAAGTCGTATATCTACAGATGGAAAGGCCTGTTGACTAAAAAGCAACACAATGTGTGTGTGTGTGTGTTTTACCACATAATTTATTGTGACTTTGTCCTTTGTAAAAAGCGAAGCGGAGTAACTCAAAGCAGCCTGCTCTTACTCTGAGACTTGACATGAGAACTGCACTAGGGGGCGATAAGATAACAGATTCAAACTCACTGAACTCTTGGCAAGTTTCGGTGTTTCACCTCCCCCTTCCTCTGCCAACCTTCCTCTCTGCTTTCACTGGGTTGACTGTCTTTAGGTGTGTGTCCCAAGCTACTGCTTCAAATGAATGACTCATAAAATACTAAACTCCAAAATCTTGCTCAACCTAGTGAGTGACTGAATGGAGAAGGCATGTAGAAAAAGTATATTAAATCAATTTGGAGGTTTACTCATTTATTGTATTTAATTTTAAATGCAGTTTCTAAATGTGTATGCCCTTCGTGAGACAAAATAAGTTTTTGTCATGCCAATAAACTAAGTTTAAACTAAAACTGAAAATTAAGAAAGACAGACATGGACAGACAGACAGTGGGAAAGTACAGGCCACTGAATCGCATGACTGAGTGTTGTTTGTCCCTGAGGCTGGGCAGGGCTCTTTTTTCATGCAGGCAGTTTTGTGGACTACCATCCTCTAATTCCACACACAAACTAAAAGGGTTTGCAAGCGGGTCGCATAATGAATGTGTTTGTGTGTGTGAAAGGGAGCAGTTTGTGCATGTGTATGAGCATGTGTGTGTATGTGTTTGACGTCATGTTTGTTCACTCTGTGGTTACGATGGCATCGTCCCTGACGCCAGATGCCCGAGAAAACTGTGTCCCAATTCCGTTCTGGCCCACTGAGTCAGGTCGTTAAAGAGGGAGAGAAAAACCGGTGTGCACACGCACACATGCACACGCACATAGACGTTCAAGCACATATACGCTGCAGCTCTTTGTGTGTCTTTCAAACATGGACACAGATTATTCATACATTCAGGCCTTTGAAGTTTTCAGATATGTGATCGCTGGTGAGGAACCAGCCCCGCCAATGTGCAAATAGTGACTGTTCGTCTATGTACACATTCACCCCTACACATGTATACACACACATCCACACAACTACTGAAACTACCTCACCTTCAATTTCAATGTCACACAAATAGCTTTTAATTAGACATACTACTTCTTTATTTGTCTAGATGTATGTACAAGTCAGGGTTTTCCCTAGGTTTTTATCAATTTCTTTACTTCTTTACTTTACTCTGCAATCTCTATTATTACGATTCACAAGAATTAGTCACCAACAAAGTTATAGCTCACTTCATGTAATCCTTGTGGAGGCAGCTAAAAGTACCCCTTTGCCTAGCGGGCAGTACTTTGGTTAAAGCAAACAAACAAACAAATAAAATGCTAATAAAAGTGCAGGATTTGTTCTTATGTAATAACGTAACGGATCTTCACCATCCCGCAGAATATGCCACAGTGCCATCACTGATGTGTGATCAGTTGATGGTTTTACTGGTGAAACCATCCCACTCTCTTGGAGTAGCTGGAACTAGAGAAACACTCAGTTCACTAAAATCATTCAGTGGGGTTACAGAGTGATGCCTCTTTACCTTTTAAACGATCTGCAAACATCAGTGTTTTCTGTTTCTCCATCGGCTGCAACGAGGCCACAAACCCGACAACAGCGAGTTTTATTTTATCCTGCCATCAGTTTAAGTCACAGAGTTAACGTTAGTGTATGTAACACACGAGTCACATGCTGGGGCTATCCTGTTGTAGCTTATATTACATTTTGAGATCGAGTCACCTCTGGCTTATTTTTCAGTGCATATAACTCACCATTGTTTTTACATCCATCCTCCTGTTACCAGTGATTTTGTATACTGTGTGTGCATGTAAACATAATATCTCTCTCTGTGCATCCCTTTCTCCACCTCACCCGCTCTCTCTAACCTGGTTGTGTGTCCTCAGCAGGCAGCATGTCTCCCTCTCCTGCTCCCTCTCTCTGGCCAGTCGTTTCTGCTCTTCCTGGAGCTGCTGTTTCTCCTCCTGCAGGAGTCTCATGGCCTTCAGCAGCTCCCTGCGCTCCTGCTGCGCTTCCTCCACTCGCTGCAAGGCAGGAGATACAATAAGATAAGGGTAAACAGAAAGATGGTTAGAATGGTGCCTGCGTGAGGTAGTTTTGTCATTTCTATTCCCCTATCTTAGGACAGTTAAGTGTCATTTTGAAAACATCACAAAAAGCTGTGAGATGCACCATTCTCCAGAGTTTTACATAATGATATATTGTGCATATTTTTATGGCAGCCTAAAAGGACAACAATTTAACAGTTTATTAAAGGGGAATTTGTGATCTCCTCTTTCCCATATTCAGTAATGTCAGAGGTCACAGTCAGCTATGGATGTGGCCGATATCTAGTGCCTTGCTACTGTATATGACCCTTTTTAAGAGGATCAAAACTCAGAAGGATAAAAAACAGAAAAAAACATCAATCTCAGCTGGCCTACTTCCAACAGCCCAGTCTTGGTGGTGACGACCAGTATGTCCGAGTTGCTGTCGTCTTCAGTGACAGTCAGCAGCTCTTCGGTGGGTGTTGCCGACCTGAACTGGAAGGGTGTGCTGGCTCCTCTGATGTCACCAGCATGTGTGACATAACAGAACTGGTAAAACTCTCCATCTGATTTAGGTACATAATAACCTATGGTGCAAAGAGATAAGAGTGGGTGATCTAAATTCTCATTTAGATTTTCATTTGACTCAATATTAACTTCATTAAGCAGTACTTATTTCAGTTAATAAGATAGTACTTCAAGTCTGACAAAAAACATTCCTACAATATTTACAACTGTTCTGCTTCAAACTGCAGAAAAAAACACTACACCATTTAAAAAGCAGTGAGCACTCCATCATTTATATATGCTAACATTTCAAAAAGGTCTTGCAGACTCTGACATGTGAGACATGAGGAGTAAGTACAGAGCATCCGGCCGCCGACTGGTTTTAAGGGCTACTGACACACCACAGCATGCTCTCATATTTTCACGGTGTACTATCTGACCATTCCAGCTACAGTAAAGCTAGTCTGGAGGCCCTCCATGTGTGTGTGTGTGACAGGGGTGCTCGGGCCCCAGGCCACCATTTGGGCCTGTGTTCCCTTATTAAATAAAAGTGTTGGTTTTTATATGTAAACACCCTGGTCTCTGTAGTGGTTTACACAGCGTGTGTATGTGTATACCTTGAAACACCACAGTCCTGTGGACAGTACTTCCTGGTTCATAGTTTTCAGGCATAGGAGACCAAAGAAAGGTGTAGTAATCCCTGGCTGTGCTCCACCCCACCTGAGAAGACATTGTAAACAAATATGGAAATACTGATCCACCAAATTTGTGCTTGACTGGCCAGCATTACACATTGTGTTCAAGAATCATACATTTCAAACATATGTATTGTTTACTTATACGGTCAGATGACATTTTCAAAATTGTTTTTATCATTACATTTTTTCAACAGTGTCCTTGATAAGGGAATCTGGAGGACTACATACACTGTTCAAAACCAGATTGGAAACATTTAATTGGAATGCCCCTCATTCTTCCACACACATCCCCCTCCTCCTTCCTTCCCCTTAGTTTCAGGCTCACAAAAAGTGAGGGGCAGTAAAGGTGAGAGGGTGTGAGGGTAGCTCTGTATGTGGCTGTGTGTGTGTGTGTACACACAGGACCAAAGAGAACGAACCATGCAGAAATGAGAAGGGATGAGGAAAGAAAAGGAGAAAATTTTACATGTAATGGGAAAGGAGACATGATACCATGGATTTAATTTGGTGTTGTGACAGATGATGAAAGGCAGTTGTGAACTCAGCTTGTGCATCATAAATCTGTCATGCACTCTCTCTGCCTGGGCTGCTCCAACACATACACACATCCTTTTTTCAACTCACATGTTCTATACAGTATAATACACATATGTGAGATTACATAACTGCACATTAGTTGTGGATAACTCACTCACCTGTGGTACTACAGCATGTTTCTGTGTCACAGTAATGGTATTATTAAATGGTATTACAGTTTACATAACTGGCTGATTATGCTATACAGGCTGCATAAAACACTGACAGGGGTTATTCACTTTTGTTGAATTTTAAATGAGCCATAACACTCAAAAATTGAATAATAACATGTCAGTGAATGTTCAATTGCTAAGTGAATTTAAGTAGCATTTCTGTTTAATCTAGGAAAAAATAACAGCAGGTACATGAAAAAGCATATGGAAGCTTTAACTTGAAAAAGTAAATCAGCAGAGCTATTTAAGACATTTGTCAAACTTTCAGGTTGGATAATGCTTTTCCATGATACATGATACATAATTATAGTTTTTGTCTAGTAATTTTCAGTGTGGCCAAGAAGATTCTTTCCATGTCAATATCCTTGTGATGTGCTCCTGCCAGGTTTGCTTGTGTGCTCACGTGTATTTGCTTAAAAGACAAGAGACATAAATAATTCCTCTAATTGCAGAGGTAAGGTTGACTGACATTTGGTCAGCATTCCAGCACAAGAGTGATGTTATAAAATAATCACAGGCACAGCAGCTATCGATCATTCAGCCAAAGTGTGAGGGAACAGCCCAGTGACACGTTAATTATACACTATCACAACAGGCTTCTTTCTCCCTGCTGGCCCAGCAAACATGCCACAACCAACAACCTCCACAGGGCTTCCTAGGGAGTTTTGTGTGTTTAGTGTGTGTCAAACATCAAACTAAACCATGTTTTCACTGGAGAATAGATATTTAATTTATCTGTGATATATGTAAAAATTCAAGTCATCATGTTTGAAAACAAAACAAAAAAAACTCAACAAGCTTGATTAGGATGCACACTGTTAGTGCTAACTGTGTACACGATGTACTGTATGTGCAGTTTGACAACACATCTACGAGCAAGTTTGTTTCACTATCTTTATTTGATGATGATCATTTTCAGCCACTAGGGGGCAGCTGTGCACAACTCAAATGAACAGTGCCTGCCTGGGCAGTCTGAGTCATACTCATAGCAAGTCAGCATTATTGCTGGGTTTCTCTCTCTCTCTCTCTCTCTGAAATGGGCAGAGCCTATAGATGTGAAAGGTAAGTGGGAGGAAATTCTCCCTCTCTACACTAAGGACACTAAGGGCGGGAGATCAGCTGATCATCTACACACTGTGGGAAAGTCAAATCTAGTCAATCATTTAATGCCACAGCCTGTTAATTTTTACATTACAGCTTTGTAACACTCAAGCCAAAACACCTGGCATCAGCTCATTTCCTATGATGATCACAGTGGACAATTATTATTTATAAAAGCATATGTACATCATGGCCTCTTTATACACTGTCGAAAGAAAGAAATCACAAGTTGACTGCGTTTTTTTCTAATATATATATACACAATATTTTGTCAAAATAAAATACAATACTGTATGTCTAAGGACACACTATACAACAGACACATACTTCAAAAGAATTAAAAGAAGCACAGCCTACTAGCTCCTGACATGATGGACTAACCATCAAACAGGTTTCGTTAGTGGATTACAACAGTTAAATTTTCCAAATAAACCCAGGGTCTTTATTCTTTTTTAATTGAGATTGTGGATTTGAAGTCAGTTTTTAAATCAACGATAAAATGTTTATCTTTCGACTTTATGAGACATTAAATTTCCTAGTTCATGTTTCCTGTTAATTATGTGTGAGATTTGATGGCCTTGATAAAAGACTGGAGCAGATGGGGGGAGCAGGAAGCAGAGAAAAGTCTGACAGAACAACAGAGATCAACAAACAAGTGAAGTGGGGGAGAGAGGTCCTAATAAGAAGAGTTTTTCATAAAGAGTGCCAAATGTTTGTCGCATAGTTTTTAGTTGTTTTTCTTTCCCCCGTGCTTTCTGAATTTGTCTATCAAGATCAGTGTGTGGTATCTGTTCTTATGGTGTCTTGTTGCTTGCTCTCTGTTGTTTTTGTCCCTTACTGCTGCTGAAACACTGGAATTTCCCCACTGTGGGTTCAATAAAGTTCTACTTACCTACCCAAGTCTTCTTTCTGCATGCAGAGCAACCACACCAAAATTTGGGGTGAGGCTTTTGTCATGTAGGGAAGAGCTCAGCCATCAGTGTTAAGACAGATCTATGTGTTAATGTGCCAAGTGCAAACGCATGGCCAATTAATAAAACCCAACGCGTAATACATGTCACACACACTTATGTAATCACCTAAGAATAACATCAGTTTTTAAATACATGTCTTTGTAACTTACAGATCGATACAATTCTGATCCTTAATTGATTGTGCTTGGTGATGTTTTTGAAGCATGGTCTGGGTAATAGCAGCAGTAGTGAGTGTTTGTGGGTGATGCACCTTAAAGATGCCCACCCAGTCTTTGGGGTGGGGGGTAATGTAAGGGGTCAGGGTGTAGCGACACTCGAGAGGCGCCTGGGGCAGGAAGCTTTTCCCCACGTTCTGGAAGATGACATGGGCAAAGTTGGATGTTTCCATGACACTGACGCTGCTTCCCGGCGACGAATCCACCACCTGGAACGATGACATTGTATCCTTGTGGTCACTTCATTGGTCTGCAAGGGTAAAGCAGCAGAGAACAGAAAATAAGTATCAAAAAAGAGTAAAGGAAAAAGCATTAAAAAGCAGGCTTCTAACGGCAAGAGATCTAGTAGTGGTACTGTACATTTACTTACTACATATCTGTTGTGTCAGTTTTAAGCATTCTAAACCACCTATCTGTTATTTAAAATTGCATAACACAAGTCAGCAGTCTTTATGAAAATACAATACTAAATATGTGGAGTACAATTTTAAGTAAATATCAGATTGAACCAACCTGAATACCTAGCTGATGCTGCAGTTTGGTCATTTACCAAGACACCTCCACACCATGGTAACTAATTGCCTCACAGCAAACTGCTCAAAGAGTATTAAAAACAAGTGTGAATGTGTGTAGCTGCTTGCCATTGGTACAGCAACTTAGCATCACTGTCCTCCATTCCCTGGATGAGTAAGGCTAAAACAACACACCTTCCTGTCCTACATTTCTATACGACCCAACCCCAGTCTCCTGACTAAGGTAAATGAATGTCTAAGTGACTAAGTCATAACTGAAGCTAGATTCAGATTCACAAGCTAATATGGCATCATGTGCTCACCGGGTCACAGCGACCGACAGTAAATGTATCGCTAATCCGTTATGACACAGCGCTGCCGTGTAAAACTAGCTCAGTTAACTAGACGATAATCGTATTTACGGTGGCTAGGCAGCTAACATTAGCTTGTAAACAGGCCATGTCGTGTCAAGTCACTAGCTAGCTAAACATCGTCTCAGTCGGACAGCCAGCTGGCTGACATGAGGAAGTCTGAAATTAAAAGAGTACCCTTTTATATGAATTCCATTTGAAACAACAGTGAGTTACTGCCGGACAGCCCGATGTATTTTGCGACTACCCTCGTTGTTGTCAAAGCTTGATGATGATGCGTCTCTTCCTTGCAAGAGCAAATGATACTGAGCTTCCGGGATGCTGAGCAGTACCGAGGATGCTGAGGAGACCGCAGACGTGGTATCTAAGACTAAAAAGAGTTCAGGTCATCATTTTTAAATTGTTTTGAATAATTACTTCACTCTGTTTCTAATACGAATTGTTTGAAGGCAATTTAAGTAAATTATATGAGGTTGTTTCGGACATTTCCCTTGTGACTTAACATCATAACAACAATTCCAAATATATAAGTACTCTCTCATATTATCTGAATTTTCTCAAAATTGCAAAGCAAATGACACATTGTCTCGTGAATTTTATAATGAGTATTATTAATGAGCTACCGTTTTCGCTGTATCGTAAATAAGGGTACCGTACCAATAGTAGCGGTCAAGGGGTATTAACAAGTAAAAGCACAGGATATCCCGCCTTTGCTTGATTTCAGTTGGCTGCTGAATGTCACCCAAGGCCGCGATTGGTAGAAATCACAGTCAATCATTACAGTTCCGATGGTCTTTCCTGACTTGCAGCTGACACGTCGAGGTGAAAGGGAAAGAAGCATGGCTGTGTTAAGACGGTCTCGAAATGTATTGTTAAGGTGGAATAAGCATGTCAGCCTTGAGTACGGTAACGTATCCATTTATACAGTCAGTTTCCTTCTGCCCTTTTCCGGTTACGGTTCGGTTCAGAGCAAAATGCAACATTGTCTGATCCAGGCATTTAGCTAGATTGTTAGCCCTCTGAAGAAATTCTGAATTCTTACTACCCATATAGTTTAAATGTCACTGTATGGACTCCCTCTCTGAGTTTGCCACCTGTTGTATGGTCATGCAGAAAGACAGGACAATGTAATACTGGACATGAGCACATTGAAATGAGAAGCAGTAGTTAGCAAAAGTTAGTTTTACCTGGCATGATCAGTCTCTCTATGGCTCTCTTCCTGACTGTGCGTCATATCTGTATTGGTTTCACATATTATTAGTTTGCCTCGGTTATTGGCAGTCAAATACTATAGTTTGCTCTACAATACATAAAGCCATGGATTAGCCACAACGCCTACTCAATCCACTCCTCCCTGCCCATCCCACAATGAAAGACACAGCCATCTGGAAAATATGCTACTTGAAATTCAGGGACCGCTGGTGTAATAATATTACACTGGCCCCTGCTTCCCTGTATGTGACCCTCTGGTGGTATAGTGCATGTGCTTTTATGGTTTTGTTAAGAAACCTGTGAATTATATTTTTCCGTGAAGGCCCTTTCCCTTAAGTCTCAGCAACTTGAGGGACCAATACAGTGCTTCCCTTTTGGCCTGGTAGTGCCTCAGCTAAGCAGACATAGTCCTACCCCAGTTCTGCACAGCCAGTTTCAAAGTCCACTGTTTAGTAATGCCAACAAAGTGCTTGACATACTTGTGTAAAGATAGTAAGCAAACACTTAAAACTGTTGTTTTGCTGTACTTTTTATATTCAAGTGCTTTGATATAGTGTGGGTATAGTATAGTAAAAAAATAAAAAAAGGATGTCACTTCATCCTGCCAGGTATGTTGGAAAAGTACATTACAGCTGGAGTATTAAAGTAAATAAAGTAGTTATGCTTTAAATTGAAATTTTTGCTGAACTGGTGAGTCACCCAATTAAATTGTAAATAAAAATGATAACAAATCAATTAATCATTCAGTGCCAAACATGTAATAAATCATTGTAAATTTAACACAGTAGAATTTGCCTGTCAAATAAATTAATTAATAATTTAAGGGTCTTTGAGAAACTCAAATTTATGGACTGAACAAAGACTGTAAAGTAATCAAAATCTTAATTGGAAATATTAATTAATTGCAATTAATTACAAAATGTTGATTGTACAGTGTACACTTGGGTAAACAACATGAAAAATAATTTAAAAAAGTTATTAGTATAATTATTATATTTTCTTTATTATTTTATATCATTTCAATTTCTGTTAGTTATACTTTTTAAATTTAACAGTTTGTTGTTTCAAATCACCATCTGCAGTTCAGTGAGATACACCATATTGTTGCACCAGCTATTTAAATATTTAGTGCGCACAAAAAACAGGGTACGAAAAAAGGTGAGGATTGACAAAAAATATATTTTATACTGTTGAATTGTGTCACTAGCTTAAACAGTACTTCCAGACCTACCAAAAGATGAGTTTTGTGTTCTCTATTACACCTCTGGGGCTTGTTGGTGTGGTAGTGTTATTGATAAAGCCTTTTTAAACTTGGGAAAAATACATTTTATGTCAAATTTAAAGCTCTTCTACGAAGATGTTTATGTTTTAGGCCCTCTTAACCCTTAGTCCTCTGCAACTCAGTTAAGAGAAAATGGGTGCATTGACAGCTTCAGTGTTGTGCAAGACGGAGTGCTAAAGCTACCTGTCTGTCTAGAGTCAGCATCTGTTCAGCTGTTTTTATTTCATAGATTATGTACTTGTACAGTAGAAGACACTGTTATTCTTAGATGCAATCATGTCTATTCAAATTTTATTTCATGCAAAAAAGCAACACATGAACAGTTTTGTTTGCTCATTTTGGGCCAGTGTTAGAAAATACTGTATCCCCTTGCACTATTAATGCACTATTAATCATCTTAGAGGTAAAATATACTGTAGATATTGCAGTCATCATAGGAGTATCTAGCATATATGTGAAGCGGTGGATGGCTTTATGGCAAGGCTTTCTGTTTAGCCTTTCGCTCTCCAGGCTTAATCCTACTTTTGTAGTCGAGTTGGTACCTTGCCAGAGTTTCCACACTGTTTAGTATCCACTAAACTGGCTGAACCTTGGCTAAGCTAGCAGTGTTTAATAGCCTGGCCAGATGACCCAAAAGCTGGTTGTTTGCGGCAGACAGATTTGCCCTGTTGTTAATTATTCTAATTTGAGCATTCCCTGTAAGAAAATGTTGATAGCATTTTGTACAGCTGCTTTTCATTGCCACTTGCCACAGTCAAGGTCTTGAGTTTGAAATTCATTTGTATTGCTCAGGTCAACCATGAAAACATTTTTTTCTTCACATAAGTTTTTTTTTTTTTTTATCCCCTCACACTCCTTTTTGTTTCCTGGCTCAGTGTCAACACGACCAATGGCCTCAAAAACACCTGTGGGGTTTATTGGCCTGGGAAACATGGGCAGTCCCATGGCCAAAAACTTGTTAAAAAACGGTTATCCTGTTATTGCCACTGATGTCTTCCCTGAGTCCTGCAAGGAGCTGCAGGACCTAGGCGCTCAGGTAACACACTCTCTGAGAACACATTACATGTGCACATTTGAGTGCTTATTTAACAAGCCAGACTGGCTCAGAATATGCACAAGATTGATGAATATTTGGAAGGTGATGGATACATCCCCTTCCCACTTACTGTTTGAAACTCAGTAATTCTTAGAACAGTTGCTTAGTGAACAAACCACTCTATGTGCTTCTGAGCTGAGAGGCTGTTACAAATATAAGCTATAATATCTGCAGTTTGTTCATACAAGTGTTTATTTTGTGTTCATGATATTGTGCAATGTTTCAGGTAGTGGACACCCCAGCGGAGGTGGCGGAGAAAGCAGACCGGATCATCACAATGCTGCCCTCAAGTCCCAATGTCATAGATGTCTATATAGGTCCAAATGGCATCCTTAAGTAAGCAAACTTTACTAACGCAGTCTCTGTTGATAAAATTAGCCAAGCCTGCATGTTTGAAATGCTAAGAAAAAACAGCTCATTTGCAAGGTGTTTAATGTTCAAACAGAAAGACTTAGCAGACAGAGGTTTGTATGTAGTGTAAATGCTTTTTGTCTTTAGAAAGGTGAAGAAGGGAACTCTGTTGATTGACTCATCCACCATTGACCCTGAAGTCTCAAAAGAAATAGCAGCTGTAGCAGAAAAGATGGGCGCCGTGTTTATGGACGCTCCAGTGTCAGGAGGTAATGTCTCACCTAAAGAATTAATAAGTGTTCCTTTTTGATTTTGTTTGTTTCTACATACTTGATTGTGTTAAATCTGTTGTAGCTTCATGATTGTAATGTCCACTTTTGTTTTTGACAATGAAAAATACTACCTGGCTTGTCATAGTGCCTGGTTCAACAAAAGTGGCAGGTGATGTTGGTTATGCAAGCTGTCAGAAGAGAGGTAATTTTTTTCTAAATGACATCGAAGGATTTATTTCTCCACATTGTAGAGGATCAAATTATTCAAAAGGAGTGAAAGAAGTAGGAGACCATGTCAGACTGTTGGTTTGTTCATTTGAGAATAGCAATCACAGTGTTAGCCCTGTGACCCCTCAGCCTTGCTTCTGAACTGTCTTACACTCTTTTGTGTATCTAAACTATGGGACCTTTTGGGTTAGTACTAAGACATGGGTTGTAATTACTGAGCAGGCCAGCCAGTAGGTGCCCTCTTCAGGTTTATATTGCTGTTTTTGACCACAGGTCTTGAAGGCAAGGTTAAGGTTTTAGGTCCTCATTATGTTGGTGCTGTCTGCATGTGACGGCTCCTTGACAGAGCACAGGATCACCAGTCATCCTTAATGGGCTGAGCCGCAGTGGAGAATCCTGTGTCAGAGCTTTTCATGTTGATGGAGCTGTAATGGCGGGTATCCCATGTTAGTGCCTTTCATGTCAGATAAAGAGTCATAAAGTGGAGAGAAACTGCCCGCACATGGAGTGCAGGAGAGGAGAGGAGGGAGATAAGACATGGAGACACACTGCAGTAAAACTGTCTGTCTCTCTGTCTCTTTCTTTCGCACACCCACAATTTTTTGAGTCAGGTATGCATTTAAGGTTTACTACATCCTGACACTTCTGCATATCTAACTAACTCTCATCAGAGTCTGTCTGCTTTATATTGTGCCATCTTTAATTAATGCACAGTACACACTGTAGCTCTTGTCCTTTCCCATACAAACATAAACTTGGCCCACATGGGTGTTTTTACCAACTGGCATCTGCAGAACAGACCCAATGCAGCCAGTGAGCTCAGAGGCTTGAGCCTGCTCCTCTCCCTTACACACTGTTTTCATACTATAGACAATGCACAGTTAGTGTGTGTAGTCCTCTGTTCTTCCTGTCATGACTCCTGACTCTTAACCAAACCTCTTTTACTAGCCTGAGATTACCAGTGATTTATCTGCTGCCTTTACAGCTAGCTCTGTACACACTCACCCCCCCTACACACATGCACAGGCCACCTCAGTGCCCCCTCTAGACATCCATAAGTCATATCCATAAGTGCATACAGCTAGTTTATTGGCCAAAAGCAGAAAATTCTCAGGAGAGAATTAATCCAAAGTGATTTTGAAAATCATTTATCATTCATTAAACCAAGCCATTTATTTAGCAAAAATACCAAATATTTACTAGCTCCAGCTTCTAAAACGTAAGGGTTCTCTCTCTGCTATTTATGGTAGATGGGAAATCGTCGGTGTTTGCACTGTGGGTCGGACAAAGCAAGTAATTGTAGTCATCTATGGCTTTGCAAACTTGTGATGGGTATTTTTCACAGTCTCCTGACATTTTATAAAGAAGACACTTAATCCATTCATCTAAAAAAGAATAAGCTGATCAGTTGATAAGAAGAACGTGGATAGCTATAACCCTTAAATTCACACACTGTGAGGAATGAAAGTTAGTGCTGGCAGTGTGACCCTGATAAGCCAGGCTAAACCTGTGGACATGGGTCATGAAAAATGTTCTAGTATGTGGCAACTCATTGGGAACAGCAACCAGTCCCCATCCCCCTTCGGTCCACTTTCCTCATCTCTGGGTGGGACTATGAGGTCACATGCTCTGTTCCAACCAGGAGATGGCGCCCTCCCCAAATAGGGCACTGTCACACTCAAGGTTTGTGTGTTTGGATGGATATGTATGTATATGTAAGCATGGATGACATCTGCTCAGCTCTGTGACCAGTAGTACTCAGAACAATTCTCGTTTTAATACTGCATTTCCACAAAGGAGATACCAATTAACATACAGGTCGAACACATCAGTATGTGATTTTAGCTTTTAAAAAATTACGGCCTCCAGAGACACAATAATAAAAAATTATATATTATATT